CACACACACACACACACACACACACACACAAACTATGACAGCACCAGGAAAATACCAAAAGAATAAGTTTTCCCCCAAAAGACTGCAGATGAAACAATTTTTCCCCTAACCCTAAGGACAGGAAAGACAAAGCCACTGGAATAAAAACCATCAAGGCATTGTGGGGAATTATAAAGGACAGTTCCAGAAAGCTCACAGAACCAGAAACCACCAGACAAAAACACCAGCTGAAAGGTAAAATTTAAGTACAACCCATTAAGACAAAGGCTAAAAATAGCTCACCTGGAACTCCCCTTTCCTGTTTCTGGCAGAACTAACCACCAGGATAGGAAAGACAAAAGATCTGGGACCAAAATTAACCCATGAAAACAGGAAAACAAAAGCAGGGCAATCAGGAATCATCAAAACATATCAAACTGCAGGAGCTCACAAAGCAGCACACAACTCAACATATGAAAACAGCCATGTAGTCACATAAAAGGTTATTGCTGCAAAAAGCAACCACCTCACAATTACCTCAACAACCAGGTATCACACAGAAACACACAAAGCTCTCAAAGCTACCTCACACCAACCTGGCCTGCCCATATAAAAGCAAACACAAGTGGCTGCTTTTATATGGGCAGGTTGGTGCATGGTTTGTGAGATTGTGTGTTTCTGTAGTGAATTCACTACAGAAATAAATATAAAGTCTCGCAAAGCTGCCTTGCACCACCCTGGCCTGCCCATAGAAAAGCAGTCACTTTGAGGCACGTAAGATTTGTGGGCCTCAAAGAGGCTACTTTTATATGGACAGGTTGGTGGAAGGCAGCTTTGCGCGATTTTGTGTTTATTTCTGTAGTGAATTCACTACAGAAACACACAAAATCATGCAAACAATGCACCAACCTGCACACTTAAAATCAACATATTGCATCACAAAGAAAACATTTCCAAAAAACAATAAATTTCTTGTAATAAACATTTTCTGAAAACAATGAATAAATAACCATTCTCTTAAAAACAATTAAAAATATATATTCTATAAATAAATAAAAAATTCCCTAAAAACCATTTTTTAAAAACCACATTCTATAAACAAATAAAAAAAACATTACCTAAAAACAATTTTAAAAAACATATTCTATAAACAATAAATAAAAAACCACATTCTACAAACAATAAAAAAAACATTCCCTAAAAACCATTTTTAAAAACCATATTCTATAAACAATAAATAAAATATCCTTTAAAAAACATTAAAAGCATAAAGAAAAAAACCTGAGTCACTTACCAGCAGGCAGAATCAGCAGCTCTTCGGTGTGATGGATACAAGCAGCAGGCAGGTGACCAGGCAGTAGGTAAGATGGACTGGAGGGACACAGGGACAACCCAGTCAGCGTTCGGCGAGCCAGCAAGTCAGTGAACGGCGTGCGTGTAGGCAGATGAGGCAAGCATGGTGTGGTCGGGTGGGGCAAGCGAGCGAGCGGTGACCGGGCAGGTGGGGGGAACAAACGGGGGGCAG